TGTTGATTGTGGGAAGGGTAATAAGGTAATTTCCAAACAATTTGAAATCCATCCTTCTACAGTGAGAAGGATTATTTACAAATGGAGAACATTCAGGACAGTTGCCAATCTTCCCAGGAGTGGGCATCCCAGGAAAATTCACCCCAAGGTCAGACCGTATAATGCTCAGAGAAATCGCAAAGAACCCAAGAGCTACATCTAGGGATCTACAGGCCTCGGTTAACATGTTAAATGTTAAAGTTCATGACAGTACGATCGGGAAAAAAATTGAACAAGTATGGCTTTCATGGAAGGGTAGCCAGGAGAAAGCCCCTTCTCTCCAAAAAGAACATGGTGGCATAGCTTAGGTTTGCAAAGTTGCATCTGAACAAATCATAAGATTTTTGGAACAATGTCCTTTGGAAAGACGAGACCAAAATGGAGATGTTTGGTTATTATGCTCAATGCCATGTTTGGCGAAAACCAAGCACAGGGTATCACCACAAACACCTCATACCAACCCTCAAGCACGCTGGTGGAGGGGTGATGATTTGGGCTTGTTTTGCAGCCATAGGACCTGGGCACCTTGCAGTCATTGAGTTGATCTTGAACTCCTCTTCATACCAAAGTATTCTAGACATAAATGTGAGGCCATCTGTCTGTTAGCTAAAGCTTGGCCAAAACTGGGTCAACAACAACAACAGGACAATGATCCCAAGCACACCAGCAAATTTACAACTGCATGGCTGAAAAAGAAAATAATCAAGGTATTGGAATGGCCAAGTCAAAGTCCAGACCTCAACCCCATTGAAATGTTATGGTGGGACCTTAAGAGAGCTGTCCATAAAAAAAAAAATGCCCTCAAACATCAATGAACTGAAGCAATGTTGTAAAGAAGAGTGGGCCAAAACTCCTCCAAAACGATGTGAGGGACTGATAAACTCATACAGAAAACAATTACTTCAAGTTATTGCTGTTAAAGGTGGTTCTACAAGCTACTGAATCATGGGGTGTACTTAGTTTTTCACACATGGATTCTGCATGTTGTCTTATTTTGTGTTAAATAATGGCATAGTGGAATCTGTTATGTGTTTGTCACCTGAGGTTTACCTAATTCTAGGACTTGGTAAGGACCAGATGATTTTTTTTTGTGTCCTGATATATAAAACCATAGATTTAAAAGAGGGTGTACCTTCTTTTTCACATGACTGTATAAACTGCAACACAGATGGTTTGGAAGGCAGCAATACTAACCACTGTGCCACAGTGCCAGCTTCTGTTTCAAGTAATGTGGGGAGAAAATCTAAAAGTTTTAGATTTTGAGCAGCAGTAATTTCTATATGGTAAAATTAATTTGCACCCTCCATTGAGACACCTAGGAGGTAATTAATGTTACTCGCCTTCTGTTTCACTTTGACTGTGTTTCTCCTGTTCTTCCTCACTACAGAGAGTGCCGGACTCCAAGAACAGAATGAAACGGTTCTTCCTCGTAGAACCCGTGATTGGCATTTTTGCGTTTGCAAGTCTGTTGACTTATCCAGTACTGCAGCAGTATGTATACCAGCGACTTTGGGATGAGATTGCCAACTCCAGTTATCCCAGAACTCAAAGCTCTTCCCAGTGCATGAGCAATGACAGCAGTGTGAAAAAACTTTACGATGTGAGTAGAATCCTTGGTAAGAGAGTGTACTGTAAGAAATTGCTTCGGGATCCTCAGAAAAATCAACCTTCTGAAAATACACAAGATGTGGCAAAGTACTCTTTTGCCCCCCAAAAAGGCCTGTTGTGGTTTGTTATGAGCAGTGATCAACCAATGTGCTTTTGAGCATGGTTAATGGAAACGTGGTGTGGTCTTTGGTGTATTGGTATATGACAAGAGCGCACATTCATTACCCTAGCTGAAATGTGTGTAAACTATCTATCTGACCATTTTTGATATATGTAAGAAGATGTTATTGTCCCCTGAGGGAAATGTTTTATGGACACCCAGCACTCCTGTACATTTAAATAGAATACAAACTAAAGAAAACATTGCACATGTACAGTATAACACATAACAACATGTAACATTTATAACACATCACAAAACATATTGCACTCAAGTGGGTGGTAAGAGTAAAAATTGTTTATCCTTGACATTTGCGTTGACAGCTTTAATGGATAGTGGAACAAAAGAATGTTTGTATTGGTTTGACTTACATTTGGGAACCCTCAAATGTTTGCCAGAAGGAAGAAGTTGATATTCAGAGTTGAAGATATGGGAAAGATCTGATATAATTTTTCCTGCCTGTTTGATTATGGATTTTTCAAAGATTGCCTGCAGGGAGGGGTGCTGTTTCACTCCCATGACTTTCAAAGCTGTCTGGATGAGGCGGGTAATTTGCAATTTTAAATGAACTGATAGATTACCAAACCACACTGTAATACCATATCCGATAATACTCTCGATTACAGCATGGTAAAAGAGTAGCATTACTTCTAGTTGAACCCCAAACACTCTTAGTCTTCGCAGGAAATATACTGTAAGCGCTGCTGAACTTCGTAGCAAACACTCTCAACATGAGTAGACCAGCACAGGTTACTGTCTGTGTACACCTAAGTAGTTATATGAATCGACCTGAGTGATAAATTTGTTGTGGATTACTATACAGTATGTGAGTGATCACCAACTTCTCTGGGATCAAAAACTATTTTTTTGTTTTTTTAACATTCAGAATTAGGCTATTGTCACACCATTGTACAAACCTTTGAATTTCTGACATGTACACAGATGAGCTTCTACCTCTATGCATTAAGTCAAGAACAGCAGTATCATCTGAGAATTTGAAAATGAAGTTGTTTTGACTACTGCTTGTACAATCAAGTGTGAACAGAACTGGAGAGCTCACACAGCCCTGAGGGGCACCTGTGCTAATAGATCGTGACTAGCAAAGAGTTTTGTTGACCCTGACATACTGTGTACGTTTTGTTAAAAATTAATAGTACCATCTTATAATGTTATGGTTAACGGACATTTGCTTCAACTTGCTTTTCAATATATGGGGCTGCAGCGTATTAAATGCAAAACTGGTCCACAAACAGCATCTGAGCATAGGCATCGGGGTCCTCTAGATGTTTTAGAACAAGATGCATAATGCTGTTAATTGCATCATCGGTGCCCCGCTGGTGTTTATATGCAAACTGATATGTATTGATAGTACATTGTGTAACATTGACCACTATCAAGATCTCCGATTACACTATGTCTTTTACTCTATGTACATTAGACTGTAAAAGTCTTAATAGGTGTGACTTAACATTTTGAACTGCTTTTGGGTGGGGAAAAAAAAGTCACAAAAATGGATCCTGTCACTGCTCAACAGAGGGATCCTCCATGAGAGAATTCACCTCTGTTTTGGGGGTGAGGAGGGCTATACATTCATGTTGTCAGCCATATTTTGCAGAGGAATAGTAACTTTGCATAAGTTTTAAGGTGGAAACACATCTATTTGTAGACAAATGGTCCATGATTGCATGAAATTTGAATCCCATGCCTTATTAGGAATATACAGTACAGTATTTGGCAGTAAATGATACAACTGTTTCACAGAATCCAACCTTTCAAAATAAAAAGCTGGGAGACTGTGACTCAACATTTACATTTATTTCGTAAAATGTATTACACAAAATCAATTATTTCAATTGTGTATGTACAGTAACTGCCCTTAGGATAAATTAAACATTTTGTTTCCATGGGGGGGAAGAAAGTCAGAACTTATAACAGCTTGATCTACTGACATTGATCTGCTAATGAAGCTCTTGAAATAGTAGTTATTCTGTAACATACAGTATATTAGACAGTTTTATGGATTTATTTGTTCTTCTGGAGAGGCACTACTGTAATGTGTTTATTTAAAAATACTTACCTAAACAACTACTTCTTTTTATTTGATCTGTTGTATGTTCTCTCCTTTTTAACAGGATGTGCAGAAGGAGACTTCCTTGTTTTTGTTATACAGTGAGTTGTGCTTCATGTTCCCCAGCCTGGTGGTCTCCTTGTTGCTCGTGTCCTACAGCGATCACAGAGGCCGCAAGATAGCCATCGTCCTGCCCCTGATAGGAAATGTTCTCTTCTCCTTAATCTACTTTGTCGTCTGCTCATTCTCTTTGAACCTGAACATTGTGCTTGTTGGTTCTTTTCTGATGGGCCTGTGGGGGGGTCCCACCTCCCTTGTAGCAGGCTGTTTTGCTTACGTGGCAGACCTCTGTGACAACAGCAAAAAAAAGACTGTGCGCATGGCTATTTTGGAAATGGTTGTGGGCCTGCTGTCTGGGGTGGCCTCTTTATCTACGGGCTACTTTATACAGGCAGGAGGCTTTAAATGGCCCTTTCTCACAGCAGCCCTGCTCCACTGCCTGAACATTTTCTACGTTGTTTTCTTTCTTGAAGAAACAGTGAAACCCCCCAACTTCAGCCCCTTGCCAGGTTTCACTATGGAGGCCTTGAAAAATCGTTTCCACAGGGTCTACCTCCTCTTCGTGGCCTCCAGCAGGAAGAGGAGCACGCTCCTCATCCTCATGATGCTCGCCTTTACGTTCCACAAGTTTGCCAATTTCGGAGGGATCTTCATGTTCATCATTTATGAGCTGAACGCCCCCCTCTGCTGGAATGAAATCCTGATTGGGTATGGCTCTGCTCTTTCCACCTTGATCTTCCTTTCCAGTTTTGCTGGGGTGTTTTGCTTCTCCCGCTGCCTTGAGGACATCTACATTGTGCTGATCGGCCTTGTCTCAGCCATGGCAGGATTACTGATGGCAGCCTTTGCCAAAACCACACTTCTGATGTTTCTTGGTGAGTATTTTCATATCTCATTGCGCATTAGAATAGAACTCAAGATCTAGATCTTTTAACTTGAGTTGAAAATGGACAAAAAAATATTGAATCAAGAAATGAAATTTATTAATCTCTCATAAAAAAGCCAGAGATCAATATTCCATATTAACAATAAAACAGCCAGGCCATTAAAATCCAGGATTGCTTTGTTGTCTGTGAATGCTTTGCCTTATGCACATAAACCAGCCCAAAAAAAACTGCAATACCCTCAAGAACTATGCTGTTACCCCTGGGCATGTTTCTTTTTCAGTTAGAGTACCGTTGCTTTTTGCCATAATGCCAGCTCCAGTGTTGCGATCCATGATGTCGAAGATTGTTTTGAGTTCTGAACAAGGTAGGTTACAGTTATAGTGTTCCATGACATCAAATATAGAAGGGTACGTTCTTTGCACTGTTTAGCATTACAGTGGAAAAACAACCTGGTTGCATAAACATCACTACCTTAGTTTATCATCACCAAAATGTTCTAAATATTCTTTGTAAAAGACTTAATTGAGGGGAGAAAAAGTAGTTGATTAATCTGTTGAGATCAGGTAGCTGAGAACAAAAGTGCAAACATCCTGATAGTTATGTTACAGACCCGCTGTAGATTGCACTGATATTAGTTCTGTTTCTCAATGCAGTTTTTATTATTTTTCAATTAAGATAGGAACTATGGCACTAAAATCAGGAAGTGCAATATGAATGCTAGAGAATAAGAAATCCGTCTTAGGAAAAAAAGGTTCTAAAACTTCTATTTCTCTGTCTAATGTTTAGCCTTTAGAAGTGTAGAATTGTAGTGTCTATCTTAACTACATTAACTACGGAAGTATTCTATTTTTCGCATACTTCAGAGCCTTCACAACTTATTTGAAGCAGTCTTCTTTGTTTTGATGTACATTTTGTATAATATATGTTCTGACCCTTAGAAAAAAACATAGCATTTTTTTCACGTGTTCAGAAAAATAAAGAATATAGATTTTGGACATTGAAATAGTGAAAGAGTTGATTGGGCACAGGTGATGAGGTGATTTAACAAGTTGGATGTCAAGCCTGATAAAAATCAAGAACGAAACACAGAAATGAAACAATATACCCCATTACCAAGAGAATGTTGCCCTTTGTGACAACGGTCATCCAGGGTGTTTACAGCTAACAATTTCTAACTTGGAAACATGTTACAGTCAAAGACAGTCCCTAAGTGACTGGTCCTGATGTGGGAGACCACGTCATACAACACTGAACATCTGTGGAATGAGTTGTGACAACTTGACTCCTAAGGTTCAGAGACCAGAGAATGGGCTTATCCTTGTTCAGGCTCTACAAAAAGAAGTGGACAGAAGCCCAGAAGACAGCATCTGCAAAGCTTGTGTTCCAGATGTATTTCTTGTATTGTTTCCACATACACTACTCATCTGTGACTTACACAGGAAACCCCCATTTATCTGCCCTGTTGATGACAAATGTAAATCGGCATAAGGAATTTACCCCTATCATCATGTCTGTTCAAAAAACAGTTTGTGCAACTACAAATAAGTGTTTTTAAAAGACTTGTTTCTGTTGGTGATCAGTGTATGTACTGTATGTAATAAGGCTGTTGAATGTTATGTGTTCTAGGGGCTGCATTTGCTTGTTTGGCTTTCCTGGAGATGGTGAGCACCGTGGTTTCCTTTGCAGTGTTCAGCAGTATTTACGCAGCCACGGTCTCCTGGTTCTCTGGTTTCAGCTTCATTTTGGCTTCCGGCTTGACTGTGATCCCAATTGTGCTGATGGGGTAGGTGTGCTGTGTTGTTGTCTGGGGGTTTTAAAGACACACTGAACATTTGAAGCAGTTCACAGCTGTGACTAACTCAATCTTCCATTTCCTTCTTGATACTACAACTCCATGGTGGCCCATGTTTGATTCAAGCAAGTTCTGTCTTTTTACAGGGTAAAGCAACAATAGTACTGTTGAACATTTTCCATTTTCCTGGGAGTTTTACCATGTCTTGTCTTGGTCTCCCACAGATTGGTTATGCTTTATGTGATGGGGGTTGATGCATAAAAATTAAGTTTGATTTAGCAGCAGAAATAAATGTTCTTACATGTTACTTGTCCTGGCAGGGAAGGGAAAAGTTTGTAAATAGTATTTAGCCAGCAGCCATATCACCCTGCAACTTATAACTGGCAACCCACTGAAGCTAAGCAGGTGTGAGTCTGGTCAGTATCTGGATATGAGACCTCCTGGGAAAAACTAAGGTTGAGGTGTTAGTGGGGCCAGCAGGGTGGGTCCATGTGGTTCCTAATGCCCCAGTATAGTGATAGGGACACTATACTGTAAACAGGCACCATCCTTCGGATGAGACGTAAAACCGAGGTCCTGACTCTCTGTGGTCATTAAAAATCCCAGGTTGTTTCTCGAAAAGAGTAGGGGTGTAACCCTGGTGTCCTGGCCACATTTCCCATTGGCCCTTACCAATCATAGCCTCCTAATAATCCCCCTCTCTGAATTGGCTACATTACTCTGTTGTCCTCCCCACTGATAGCTGATGCGTGGTGAGCGTTCTGGCGCACTATCATCCAGGTGGATGCTGCACATTGGTGGTGGTGGAGGGGAAAGCGCTGTAAAGCGCTTTGCGTGGACTGTCCAGAAAAGTGCTATATAAGTGTAAGCAATTATTATTATTATTATTTTTATTATTATTTGTTTTTTTAAGGATGCAGCTATATTTGTCTTAGTTACCCTATAGACCAAAACTGCTCATGGTTAGGACCAAAAATAGTCTGCAAAGCAGTAACTTGTTAGCTATTGACTTGAATCAACAGTGCCCTCTAGTGGTTATGAGAGGAGCCGATCTCCCAATCCAGTTATTCAATGTAATGTGTAACTGATTGCCATCCATCCATTTTTCAACTGCTTTATCCAATACAGGGTCACAGGGGAGTCAGAGCAAGCCCAGCAAGCAACAGGCACAAAGCCTGTCTACCACAGGGCACACACACAAACACCCACACTTTTTAAAATTATTTTTTATTTATTTATGCATAAACAATAACAAAAATTAAAATACAAGCAAGAGTACATATAACATTTCAAGACAAAAACATCGTGAGGCAAACACCCACAGTCACATTGAACATACAATACACAAACTCCAAATAAACAGCACCCCAGGTCCGGAATTGAACCCAGGACCCCAGTGCTGTGAGACAGCAATGCAAATCACTACGCCAGCATGCCCCCATCATAATGCTTTTTTATCATGAATTATTTTCTAGGAAGATATAGATTACAAAAAAATATAGTTCTGATGCAGAAGACTGCTTTTTTTGTAATGATGTTGTTTGAGTAGAATACAGAAAAGGGAAGCTTCACTACACGAGATTCTTCAACTGAATCTTTAGAAGGTGGAAGGAGACTTCAGTCCTCTGAAATGCGTTTCCTAGCTCAAATGTGCTAAAGCATTTGTCTATTCCTTGGTCTGTGTTTGGTGTGTTTGTTATAATGGGCCCATTAAACATACTGTATATAAGCAATTCATATTACCTATTTTTATTTAGAATTATTATCAATTGATCAATATATATTAAGTTATATTATTTAGTTCACACCATGGACTAAACATGGAATTCCAGTTGTCTTTACATCTGGGCTGACACGGAGAGATTGGCCCACCCATTGAGCCCTTTAGCGTTCTACTTTCTCAAAGCTCCATAGCAACCACAGGAGGTAAGGTACTGATTGGAGGAGAGGTGTATTCCTCGCTGACATCGCCACAAACCTGCTGGCACCCTTGGCCAATCAGGAGCCTGTATCCTGCAATCTTATTCTGCACTTTGTACGTGTGAAATAAATGTAATAGTCTAGGGAATCAGAGTAACAAAGTAATCGTAGAGAATACTTCTTCTGGTTAGTTTTGTGCCCGAAATTTCTGTAAGGAAGCCAGTCTTTAAAAGCTGTATCATTAAAATGTTTTGTTTTATGCAACACTTGTTTTTTGCATTTTCTCACTGTAATTTGTGTGTATTTATCTTCTAGCGCCGTGCAATATCTAGGTCTGGAATCAACTGATGAGACCCAGTTCCTCACTTCTGAAGGTGACGGTGAAGTTGACAATGAAACCAGGAAGGACAGAACTCAGTTGTCCGACAAGGACAAGAGCTAAATTGACTTTCTTCCAACTGACACAATCACTGCCTTTATGGTACAATGGGACTGAGAGGCGGGGATTAAAAAAAAAAAAACTCTACTTATGATTTGGTTTACTCTTAGTTTCTGTACAATGTGTTTTAAACACAACTGTGAATTGCATGGAAAGAAACTGGGTGGTTGTCAGGTAAACTTTCCTCCTGGTAGGAGTCTTTGCATATGCCACGCATTTGGCCCTACCTATATTGTAGTACTAAAACTTTCTTAAAATACTTACCGTACTTAAAATAAAAATGTGTTCCAATTGATGGGCAAAGATACTGTACATGCAGCCAAATGCGCTATTATTTGTGCATTTTCACAGTGAAAAATATAATATGGACAAATACATTGATAGTGGGCTTGACAAGGCCAAAGTCATATAGAATAGAATTAATTAAATAAAAACTAAACAACACAAGGAAACACAAATCAATAATATGTGGGGCCACTGTGGGCAGTAAGAACATCCTAGCTGGGATGTTTCATGTATTGCACAATGTTCCCAAATTTTTGTGACTCAATGCCAGGCCACTCTTTCAATAGTATTACCTACAGCTGAGTTATGATACAGGAATTAGTACATGGGAATGGCCTGCATTTTTCATTTGATCTAAGGATTGGCTTTGAATGTCTTAATCTTGCTCTTCATTAAGACAGTCAGAAATATGCTGCTTCTGCTACTTAGGGTTGACTTTGGAATTCCCTAAATTATTGATTTAGTGAGAATAAATAATGTGCTGCCTGTGGAAAGAAAATATCATTTTTACTTTTGATATTCTGATGTTTTGTTTGCCAAACTAAAGGGTATGAAATGCTCAGCTGGGATTTGAGGTTAAACACAACAAGTGCTGGTGCACTACTGCATATAAACCAAGCTGCTGCAATTCAATAATTTAAAGAAACTTGAATTTTACAGGCAAGGCATCTAGAATCGTTTTAATTGTATCATTGGAATCCCTAAACAGCTACAGATTCCAGAGGCTGATGACGATTCTTTGGTTGTTGAGGAGAGCTGCAAACTTTGTATAACAATGGTATAAATCTTAATAAAATACTCTATTGTCTGTAGCATTAGTGTTCGAAAATTTAACAGAAAAAGACCTATACTATATATTAGGCAATGCTATATAGACTAAAGAAAGAATGTAATTAGCACTTTATAGAGGTTATTGTTATTTGAATAAATGATAGATGATAATTGCAAATTGATTCATTTTGTATTACCTTGTTTTATCCATACAAAAAAATAACTCCAGAGTAAAATACATTATGTTCACCTTAGTCCTTCAGGGGTTACAGGTACTCACTCTGATTTCTTTGGAACAAAGGGATGCATTCAAGCAAAATTCAATCACATGTAGAAGATTGTATGGAAATAAAATGGTGCAGGGTTTGTCAGTTTTATTGCTTGGATTCTCCTAAATCATTTGTACTTGATCTGAATTCATTCCAAATGAGCCCCAGGCATAGTGTGTCTTGGTCATATTGAAAATCCATCATTTGCCATGGAATCTTAAGATAAACAATTTGATTAGTGGAGAAAGCTTCCAACTAAATAAAAAAAACCTTTCTCACAGCTGTGCATATTGTGCAGTGCCTGCATACAGTTACAATATCATAGTATAATTGTATATTTAAAAGAATAAACAAAACCTTGGATGTGCAGAATGATATTGCTTATCCAGCATATGACTTGGAGATGAAGGTCTTCATTCAGGAGAACTGCAAAACGTTTTATATTTTGGTGTTCGAAAAACCAGCATTGATAAGTACAGTACATTTCAAACTATAATAAACTTAAAATGTACACAGTAACTTATAAAACCTACAATTTACATAATAAAATAAAATTTCCTGTTATGCACAGCACCATAATTCCATCAATTTTTTCAATTCAGAACGAGGCAAAAAAAAAAAACACCTGGTGACCTGAAATGGCCCTATGAATTGCAAACAAACAGGCTTGCAAATACATCTCTTTTAATTCAATAGAAATATTGGTCTCGACTTGAGAGACAGTTTTGTCGACAAATACTACTTGTTAACTCAGGATGCAGATAACATTGGAACATTTCTGCAGTGAAATGTCTGCCGTACAACCTGCTTGTACTGTACGTCGCATCACATTAGTCATTACAGTGACTAGTGAGCAGGAAGGGCCGCTTCATGTCGTGCCAGGTCTCGGTCTCACCCTTGGCTTCGCGACAACAATGCTGTCTATATAGTACTTTTGAAATTTGTAAAATGTTTCTATAGTGTCAAATGAATTTTTTTTGTTTTTGTTTTTGTTTTGTTTTTTGTTACTGAGATTTCATAACCAGTCTGAAAAGTCAGGACTGCAGTTCCCCTTTAAAAGTTTGTGCTGCTGCTTGTCAGTTTTCTTGTAGAGCCCTTTATTAGTTTAGGACAAACACCTTCAATACAGTACTTTAATCTTGGAGGGGTGTAAAACAGCGATATCAGTGAGGATCAAAAGAGCAGTGGAGGCTTGCGGGACTACAGCCGAGAGTATGTTTTATTTGCAAAATAAAAAGAAAATGGTTGAACATTTAATTTAAAAATGAAAATGAGCACATAATACTGTATGTACTGTACTAACATTGCTGTCTGCAAATTCCAGTACATATTACACATAGGAATGAGGCATCAAGGTTTCTCCAGTCATAGCTGGGGAAGAAGGTGCACAGACCAGCCCTTTGATCATGGGGATACACCTTGGAGGGAAAATTTGGAAAAGCCAAACAAACCCGATCCAGCATTTTTTGGGGGAAATGGGAGGAGCCTGGAAAAACTGGCAACAACCTGCACAAATGCAGAGAGACCTTGCAAACTCCACAGAGATGTACAAATTTTATTTCTCTCCCCATACGGCATAAAAACTGAAAAAGAGTCAGGGTAAAGCTTCTGAGCTAGCTGTATGTAAGACATCTTTTCAAAGGGATAATTGTCTGTGCAGTGACAGCCAGTCATTTGCCTGCATTGTTAAGATGGTGAGTTAATCTGACAGCTCTCAATAGAGTTAAAATCTAGCTAATTAAATATTCTGTATTTAATTACAAGGGGTACTGTTCATGGAAATGCAGAAAATAAATAAGGAAATGGTCCTTAGCTTTTTGTTTTGAATGCCAGGTTTGGCAAGACTGCTTCAGATTAGAGTAGCGGATCTGAGCAGCTGTAGGGAAGTCGTATTCTGTGGTAGACATTAGTCAGTAGATATATTTTTAAACTGTACACAGCCAATTTCATAAAATGAAAGTAAACTGAAATTCCCATATAATATTTCACATCTTCGGTGAAGGACAACTCCTAACATGCCATTCAGACAGAGCTCTCAAGAGTTTCTGAGTGTCAGGTTTGAGGGCCAGTACTGTAAAGTAAACAGTGAATGTAAAGTACAGTATAATAAAGGTAAATTAGCTTATTTAATAACAATAATAAACAATTCCCAGTGTCTCTTAGTTTTCATGAGCGAATGTAATCATTGCTCTCCTTTTCATTTCTGTCCTGCTGGCTATGCCCAGGGTGTCCCAGGCTTGCCTGCTTGGCTTCACTTTCCCTTAGAGAGGAAGGTCTGCAGTATGTCCACAGGCAGCGGGAAGACAATAGTGGAGTTCTTTTCGCTGGCGATGGTGGTGAGGGTCTGCAGGTAACGGAGCTGCAGGGCAGAAGGGGACTCAGAGATGACCAGCGAGGCTTCCTTCAGGGCCCTGGACGCGTTCATTTCTCCCTCGGCTGCGATCACCTAGAGCAGAAGAGACGACGTTAGCGAACACAGGACATGCTGCTCGCGAGGACATCCCCCGGTTGCTTGCGACAGGGTCTGTTTTGTCGGAAAAGTTACGTTTCCAGCTGTTTCAAATAAAGCGGATCAAGGTGCAAATACTGTGGTGGATTATTTATATCAAGGTTGATTTTGGTTGCTGCTTTAAAGAGTGATGAAAAATGAAAACAGAATGAAAATTAAAGACGGTTTCTGATGAACAACAATATATCAAACATCCTAGGCCAAACTGTTAGGCATCATGCTGTCAGAGGAAAATGATTTCTACTAGAATCCTAATTTAATCTGCTAAGAGCAGTCTTGATTTAGTACAGGAGTCCAGGTTAGAGACTAGATTGTAGATTAAGTGGCAGGCAATCCAGGATGGACTACTATTACAGATGGACTGCCACTAGAGGAAGATAAAGTCCCCTATTATCTGTAACAAATGTCGCTGATGAATGTTATTTGATTAAATTATAAGTGAGGAGTGTCTGTACGCATACAGTACTCAAAAGGGCTAAGGGCTTGCTTGGGAGTGTGTACAGTGGTTGGGTTGTTAGAGTAACAGACTTTAATTTTGTTGAGCTTTTTCTATCATAAAGCATCCTTCTCTAATTCTGAAGTCATTGTGGTCTTGAAATGTGCTCAGACCCTTCAAGCTACCTTACTTAGGCTGGAGTCTGGTATATTTCCCAGATCTTGAACATACTGTACATAAAACACAATATCTGAACCCCATGCCTAATGTATAGTGGATTTTTATCCTCCCTCACTATGAATCACTTAGATCTTAGAGTCTCCAACATACAACCATCTAAACGTATATAAAATGTTGCCCTCTCTCCACTGTGCCTCTGTGTTGTTTGTCACTTTCAAATATTTACCTGGTTGCACTTTTTTTAGAAAAAGCCCTCTTATCAAAAAACCTACCAACTGCAGTAAAACATTTAATGTGTTGCATGTAAACAGACATAGTAAAGCTTTGTGTAGATTAAACAGAAGATACTCTGCACCAGAGTATTGCCAGAAAATTGCAAAACGCAAGCAAATTCATCTGGAGGGAGGAGTTGATAAATCTTACATAAAGTACACTAATTATGGCATTAATACTACCAGAAGAGAATAACTAAATATTTTAAATAATGTCTCCTCACCTCCAAACAGTTAGAAGAACTGAATGGCTTCTGTTTGACTTAACTGTTGAAGTGCAAGTACTTGTGCAACATAAATATTTTAATCATGGTTCTGATGGGAATTTCAGAGAACATGGAGACCTGCAGACATATTCCACCGGCATTTCCAACTGTCATAGTGAACTTTTCCCCTGTTGTAGAGTTCACAATGTCTGACTGGTGGATTAAAACTGTGGAGGAGAGGTGCATCTCTTACAGACACCACCTGCAGGTGTCACATCCCACATTCCTCCCCTAGAGGGTGCTCCACTACTCCCATTATTAGTCCTGTGATTGTTGACATGGGTCACAGAAGACTGATGTCATGAATCAGGTTCAAACCTGTGACATCTGGATGTAATGAGCCAGTGCCATTGGAAGCTGAATAAACAGTTTAACTTGGGACAGGAGCTGTCCTGGGTTTTATTTCTACCTTGGCTCTGGCCTCCCGGGTTGCCTCTGCCTCAGCAGCCATAGCCCTCTGCAACTGAACAGGCAGTTTGACATCCTTGATTTCCACACGCTCCACCTTGATGCCCCAGTTATCTGTGGCTTCATCCAGGGACACCTAGAAATGGAACAGATACCAGAAGCATGAGGGGCAGGAAATGACCACCGCCTTGCAAGGGATCTACAGTGTGGTGTAATGGGATGACAATGCTTTGTCACTAAAGCCCAAGCTGCTGTGAGGAGATATGATTTCACTGGTGACACTGGACAGAAGGTTTGAAATTGTGTCAAGACTTATGTTAGAGAGGGAGGTGTCTTCAGTGCCTTCAATTTTCTTTTTCACCAGTGAATTTCATGTCATCACTAATAAAGCAAACTGTATTTCCAAATGTAAGGTAACACTTTGGTATCTAAATATAATACTACTAGGCTAGTGATGACATACAACTTCACAAGTTGTGTACATGACACATGGCTCCCCCAGGCTTAAGCTACCACACAACATAGATTGAAAGAGGATAAGATCTTTCTGATGTGACCTGAATAAAAATTACAGCCTATTTTTCTCCAGTAAAAATAAGAAAAAACAAAGTGTTTCCTCAGATTTAAACTCTCCTTCCACAGACAAAGCTATGTGAAAATGACTCATTCATCTTGCTCAGCAATAAACAACAACCACCAACACAAGCCCGTTGTGTTTTCAACAGTTGAAAAATGACTTTGTGTAAATTAATATTCATTCACAAATAAAATGTGTAATTGTTTTTATTCTGGATTTCAGGGAGTGGACCCAATACACATTTCACTATTTACTTGTATTCTTAAGTGTTTTATAGTTATTCCGCATTTTTCATTTCTGCTATATACAGTAAATTAAGAACTATATGTATTTGTATATTTGTTAAATAAATCTTTAAGTATCAAATCACATAGGCTTAGATTTTTTTAAAAGATTAGCATTTTTTAAAAGACCTACAGAATGCTCTGCCATTGTGAGGTCATCATGACATCAAGGTTCCAATCATCAGAAAGTCATGATTGGAACCTAAACCAGGCATTTGCATTCTTGCTTTTACAGAGTGAGGATGGAACTTCGGTTCTGTGCAAAGTTACTGCTGGCTTTTGTCCTTACAACGGTAGGACAATACCCACTGTACAAATATGGGTTGGTTTCATATGTTGAAGAGGACAAGCTAAACATTGTTCTGGTTGAAGACCCAGAAGAATCTCTTGTGCCAAAACCTGAGGAAGAGATCGCACCAGCAGGGCAAAACCCACTGGATAAGAATGGATCCCCTCAAAATGAAGGAGAATTAAATATCATTCTGGTTGATGACGAGCCTGTCTTACTTGTACAGGAGGAAAAGGTGAAGACAGAAAGTGAAGGCTTGGAAATTCAACACCAAACTGTTGAGGACATGGATGAGAGTAGATGGGCATTCTTTAGGAAAATGCCAATGTTTGGAGAAATAACCGGAGAACAGCTGATTGTACTAATAGACTACATTGGGACAGCTCACTTTTTATACTGCCTGCTGAGATGGGCAAAGAGACATCTCACAGTGAGAAAGGTAACAGAAAGCCTCAATTGTTTAAACAAATGATGCTACAAAATAATAAAATATGCCCCTCTAATTGCTTCAGTTTTAGGTTGTGTGTGTGAGGTGGGGGGAGGGGGTGTGCATAACTACATGTGGTAATGTTGAATGGTTTAGTTTTTTATTTGTCCTGATCCCTGTTTTTGTTTGTCTCTTTCAGACTGAAACCCCCCAGAACCCCTCAGTGCTGTGCAGATGCTGCAAGAAGGTGGAAAGAGGGAAGCAGCTGAGAGAGAAGAAGAAGAAAAGAGAAAAAAGCAAAAAGATTTAAACAAAGACATGGACTGTCACTGCAGTCATTGTTAAAGTTATTATTAATGTTAATTAAACTTTCTATATACCAAATGACTATGTTCACTACTGAATTTATTTCTCAACATTTAGACTTAAGAAAAGAGTAAAACATCACAAAATGGAAATATATGTATTCATTATTTTATATACAAGCTTATAAAATCTATTCCCCTAGGTGGTTGTTACATACATACTGTACTATGCCACTGTGCTGCCAACAAAATTTCTGTTTCTTTATTATTTTAGGCGCAAACCATGGTAATGCTTCCACTGTCTTGATCACCCTAAGTAGTATAGTGTTTAATCTTTTTCAATTTCACAGCACAACATACTAACATTTAAATTTTGTTTAAATATTATAAGACAAAGAATAATAAGCCCGAGTGAGCAGTGAGTATGTTATTATTCAAAACCCTGAAATTGTAGTATTCAGGGATAGAGTTTGCCACATCATGTAAAAACAAAAAAACCCATTTGCTTTAAACCGACTTTTTAAATCAAAACCGCTTTTACCCACAGCTGCTACCAGCCACAATGTGACTGAAAGTGCAGCTATATCTGAAAGGGAGTGATTGCTTTAAGACAGTACCTGCATGCTATGGGAAATCCCTTCCCGATCGGACAGCAGCTCAGAAAGGTTCTTAGTTCCCAGAACATTCCTCAGTGTGGTCTGAGCCAGCAAGCGTGTGGAGAAGTCAGCGTCAGTCACATTGGCAACCGAGGAAATAGGGGAATTCACTCGGAAATACACCACACCATCCACAGACACTGTCACGGAGTCTTTAGTCAGGATCTAAATGGCAGCAGAAGACAATGGAATCAAAGCATTTATTAAGTCAAGTGAAGTTACTACCAAAGCCAAACGGACCATCTACTGTATAAATAGTAGATGCCATTTCATTGCCAGCAACTACTGCTGCACGCCGTCCTGTTGTACATTTGATAAATAAACTTTGATTTGATAAATGGATATCTATCACTCCTCATTCTTCATAATTCATTCTTACTTAATTATATTTTCTATTTTGTCCAGACTTCTCATCTTCACTATTTTATTTTTACTAGACATAAAACAACATGATACAGTAATCTCGATATTTAATACTTAACATATCATCCCCCTTTTTTAAAATGTGTGTTTATTTTGCTTGTTAACGTTTGGCCCTTTAGCTTTGATGAAAAGTAATACGTCCATGCAAACAAAGGTCACTGGATTGCTGTGTGATTGTGTAAGAGTGAAATAAATCA